ATTGACTTTAGGCATCTTTCCAAACAAAAATTTAACTTTGCTTTGAACTTTCTTGTTTTTTTCTTCCTTTTTCATACAACGCATCTTCTAAAGCAAGCAATTAACCATTTTAGGGTTCATTTCTCAAACTAATGGCTTGTATTCCTCTTCAGAGATCTATGAGAATATTATATTAAATTGTTGGCATTCTGCTGAGAACATTTCTTGGACGCTGGGCATCAACCAAACTTTCATGGCTTTCCATGCAGATGTCGCTAATTGGTGGCTGTGAAAGTCTCTCTTTGGGGGCAATGTCTTCGCAAAGACAAAAGCAACAAAAAATATACCTATAATTTCCTATATGTATCTGGAAGAAAGAGATTCCGTTGTACCAGTTTTTGTGGTTGTGGTGCCATGACAAATGTCGTTTAGCTGTCAACACACGCAGTGCAGATCGATCAATCTTGATGATGATCGTTGGAAAACCTGGTTAACCCATCCACAGCCCCCACCCAAAGCAATCCATCCCGAGTTATTTTCCCATTTGCAGACAATAATTAAAATGTTTCCATGCTGCACATTTTATACATTGCTTATTTATGAGAAGCGAACGACAAGATGCGTGGGCCGAAGGCATTGATACCCTTGCAAGATCAAACATTGCACAGAGCATCAACTTGTATCATGTGCAATGCTTAAGCCAGATAAACACACATTTTATAAATGCACATGACTGCTACGAAACGGCTGCCATCCCTTCGTTCTCCACATCGGAATACCCTCTCCTAGAGTATAACACAAACTAAAGCCAACAATTATGATTGTGATTTTCATGAAATGTCGCTATGGTGGGGCAGAATTCACTGCCAGGCGGAGCATGAACTTGTTTTTGGTCTCTGAACACGAGAGCTGTAATCAAATGATTGTGGCTTAGAGGTGTACCCCCAAATGGAATGGTGGTTCAGAGTCAAAGCATTAATTACTCAACGGCCACCTAATGACCCCCAACCGTTAGCCAAGATCGAGATGAAAATGCAGACGCCCCAAACCCCAAAACCCCAGCCCAGCCCCCAGTGCTCTCAACCACTTTCCACTTAGCTGCGTTCCATAAATACAATAAAACAACAAAAATTAATCTTCGAAACAAAAACTGGCCTGAAACCGCACCATAGACGCCGGCCGCCGCGCACCACACAAATGTGGTTCAGTTTTCACTATCACTTGGCCACCAGCTCTCAAAGATGCAGAGGAGAGGCAATCGGACGCAATCTGTTCAGCCGCCAGATGCAGAGCACTTCCCCAAGACCTGTCCAAGTGGGTTGTTATTGTCGGGTTTTCTTTTCTTTTGGTGTGGTGCGGAGTGGCGTGGTGTGCAGATCCTTGGCGTCTGTTTTGAGGCTTTTTCGAAAATTGTCTCATGTCAGTGACAATTGGAGGCCATTTGAAAGGTGTTTTAATGTCGATCGAAAATGCTGTTCGAGTGGCCCGTCATCCCAGGCATTGTCCACCTTTGGCGATGTGCGGTGAAAATATAGAATGGTAATTGCAGATGAAATTTCATCAAATCAAAACCTGCTCACATCGAAGAGAGTCGAGTAACGCTACGTGTTTGGGATTGAACTTCAAACTGAAGCAAGAAATAAGAGAAGTTTTAGTGAAGAGCTGAGACGAGTTCTGCGATCTAGCACGTTTGAATACATGTATATTATTTAAAGCGTACAAGATGTGAGACTTAAGATTTATATTTCCTTAGTGTTAACTGACAATTCCATCTAGTTATTTCGTCTTACTAAAAACTGAGCCAATTTCGAATGCATTATTATTTTAGAGCAGTATTGCAGCAAATATAAACCAGTAGGAACGTTTAAGTCCGTTCACGGGTATTTTTACGAGTGCTGCCGATGGCGAAAAAGAGTATACACCACTACAAACACTTCTAAATCGAATTTATAAAAACTGTATAAAATAAAACCCCTCTCTTAAATTTTTTTAGGAGGTCCGTCCGAACACCATACCGGATCCAAAAGTAGATGCCACCTTCCGTAGAGTGGCCAAAAATGCAATTACCTTTTCCTTGTGGAAAATTGATGAGGATCGCCTAGAGGCCGTTGCCCGTTCACAGTACGGAACGTTCTACGACAACAGCGCCTACATAATATACGCAGCCAATCTGGTGGGGCACTATGCCAATCATGAGACCATCGTAGGTAGCCCCAAATATCCACATTAATGGTCGTTCTAATAGGATTTTGCACTTTAGACACGCGAACAGAAGCCCAATGTGGTGCTGGAACGATACATACACTATTGGTTGGGCGGAAATGTCAGCGAACAGAATCGTTCCAATGTGATGCACAAGATTCAAGAGCTGGACTCGTATCTGGGCAATGCGGCGGCCATCTACCGCGAGACACAGAACCATGAGAGTCCGCGTTTTTTGTCCTATTTCAAAAAAGGATATGAGTAAGCCCATCTATGATAGAGATTCCCAGTCATAATGATCTCTAATCCCAAATCCCTTTCAGTATTCTTTCGGGAGCTTTGATCAACTCTCCACAGAGGCCACGCCTGTATCAGTTGCGTGCACGGAAATGGCTGCGTTCCATTGAGTTGGCCACCATCGAGTGGTCGCACTTTAACTCGGACTACATAATGGTTCTGCAAACGGAGACCACGACATTCGTCTGGATCGGACGTTCCAGTTCGGGCATCGAGCGGCGCGGCGCCTTGTCCTGGGTGCAGAGGCAGACTAGCGGCTGTCCCATTGTCATTGTGGATGATGGCTACGAACAGGCCATGACAGCGCCACAGAAGGAGCTGTGGAACGCACTGCTGCCGCTGCATAAGCGAATGGTCTGCCAGGCCAGCCAGCTGGTCACCGACTATACGGACTGCAGCAGCAACAAACTCCGCATCTACAAATGCAATCTGCGTGGACGTTTGCATCTGGATCAGTTGGATGTGGGCTTGCCGGCCAAGGATGATCTAAGCGATGCCCATGGGGTCTACCTATTGGATAACTATGGCCAGAGCGTTTGGCTCTGGGTGGGTGCCCAGGCCCCGCAGGCGGAAGCACTCTCAGCCATGGGCAATGGCCGTGCCTTTGTCAAGAAGAAGAAGTATCCGGACAACACTTTGGTGGTCCGCGTCGTAGAGGGCCATGAGCCGGTTGAGTTTAAGCGTCTGTTCTCCAACTGGTTGAATGTGTGGCAGGAGAATACACGTGGCCACAAGCCGGTGTCCACAAAGTTCGGCAAACTGGATGCCCATTCGCTGTGCGAGCGTCCCAAGATGGCAGCGGACACACAGCTGGTAGACGATGGCAGGGGAGAGCGAGTGGTGTATCGAGTGTTAGGAGACCAGGTGCAGGAGCTGCCAGTCTCAAAGACGGTGGTCTTCACCACCAATGCCAGCTATGTGGTCAAGTACAGTGTGCAGGTAAATATCCACTGCACTCCATTCTTAAATCAGCTTTGAAACTAGGACATTCTTTCTCCATCTGCAGTGCGCAACTGTTGTGCCGGCAGATCTGGCTTCGGTGGGAATTCAGAACATCATCTATCAGTGGAACGGCTCGGAGGCCTCGGCTGAATCCATTGCCACTGCGAATAAAATTGCCATGGTCGCATTTGAGGCGCTCAAGGAACCCGGAATGCTAGTCCAACTCTACGAGTTCGATGAGCCACCGCATTTCCTGCAGATCTTCGACGGCAAGCTCATCATCATGCGGGGACAGCGCAGCGACATACTGTACAGCAACAACAACAACGGGGACCTCAAGACCAATGTGATGCTAGAGACATTCCTGCTGAAGGTCTACGGAGACGCCAGCTACAATTCCAAGGCAGTGGAAGAGCACCCGCTCTCCTCGATCACCTCCAAAGATTGCTACGTGATCAAGACGAGCCATGTGTGGGTCTGGTGTGGCCAGAGCAGCACTGGAGATGCCCGCGAGATGGCCAAGTCGGTGGGTGCTCTCATGGGAGAGTACACCCTGATCCTCGAGGGCAAGGAGAGCAAAGAGTTCTGGCAGTCAGTGGCCATGTACTTCAACCAGGCACTCGTCATCAATGGCCATGTCAACTCCTGCGGTAGCAGCACCACCAGCAGCAGCAGTGGCGCCGGAAGCATGTGCAACGGAAGCTCCAACGGTGGCAACGTCTCCCCCATATTGAGCAACAATTGCTATCTCAACACTTGCGTGCCGTCTAAGCCAAGACCACCGGTGCAGCTGTTTCTTGTCTGGTGGCAGCAGAACTCCTTGCGCTACGAGGAGATCATTGGCTTTGAGCAGCAGGATCTCAGTGCGGATTGCACCTACATACTGGACACTGGCACCCTCACGTATGTCTGGCTGGGGGCCCAGGCCCAGCAGCAGGAAAAATACACGTCCATTGCACAGTGCTATGTCCAGAATGCCCCGTTCGGGCGACGCTCGGCCACAGCCTTGGCCGTGGTGCGGCAGTATCAGGAGCCAAATGTGTTTAAGGGCTTTTTCGAATCCTGGCAGAATAACTACGGAAAGGTAAGCTTTAGATATCTCAACTATTCCAGAAATAAAATCAGATTTTGTTGCAGAACTTCCTGTCCTACGAGCAAATGCGCAAGGAGCTGGGTAGCAGCACAGCTCCCAGTAATATTAGCGCAGTCAATGGCACCACTCCGCTCATTTTGGACGATAGACAAAAGGATTTTGATGGGCATAAGAAGTACCCATTGCCGGTGCTGACTCAGGAGATGGATATGCTGCCGTCCGAGATTAATCCGCTCAAGCGAGAGGTCTGTTCCAGTACTCAAATCAACCAGAAACATCCCCATTGAAACTTCCTTTTCTCCCTCCAGGTGCACCTCACTCATGATGATTTTGTTTCTGTTTTCAAAATGTCTTTCTACGATTTCGATGAGCTGCCCAAATGGAAGAAGACCGAGCTGAAAAAACAGTACAGATTGTTTTAAGTCAACGCGCCGATTGAGTGTATCCGTGTATCGAGTGCGCACTGTACATAATCCACATGAATGAATAGTAAAACATATTTGGAGCAATTTATGTTACATACTATACACACTTTACGTAGATATAATAAAGAAAACTCTTTGAATTTCACAAGAACGAGAAATATAAATCAAGTGAACTGCTAGAACCATCAGGTGGTTTCCACCTCCTCGGAATCCGGCTCATCCCCGCTGTCCGAACCTGGTCAAACAGAGAATTTCATCATTTCACAGATCGTAAATTTCCACACATTATAATCCCCACAACTTACTGGGAAACAAAAGCCCGAAAATGAACTCGAAAATTCCACCAAGTAGATCCCAAAACATTTTCGATCTGCTGTGCTCAACGTTTTGTAACTAAGTGCAAAGACATTACGGATCGGAAACGATTTTGAGTTTGATTTTGATTTCATGTGGCCCAGACCCCATTTAATGAGCCGCGACCAAAAACGGAAGAGTAATTCGGGCTTAATTCCTAGCCAAAGCGATTGCATGATCTAGGTCAATCATGGCCTATTGAAAAGCATTTAAGTGGTCATATCAAATTTATTTGTTTGGTTTCATCATGTTCTTCAGATTCAATTTCAATTTTAGTCGTAATAGTAATCACCAAAGTAATCCTCGTCCGCTTTAAGAAATAAGGTATTACTAATTACAATTCCAACTACAGTTAGAGATACTACGCAAATTACTCACTTATATCGGAGAAGAATAAATCGTTGAGGAAAGCCAGAAATATTTCAATAAGCTCACAGCAATCCATGGTGTATGATATAATTCTGGATACTTGCGGGATTTTGTATTTATAGTAGATAAACGTTGAAGGTTAATGCTTTGGATGACCATTATTAGGAGTAATTTAATAAATGTTATAATATTCATTTTAGCATTTTATTGTGGGACATTTTTATAATGATTCCTATCGCACTAAGAGTTGTAATCGTCATCGCTGCTTTCAGCTGGAAATTCAGAAATGTTTGGAAATGGTTTTAGTGTATGTCGAATCAGGAAAATCGAATGTTACTAGTGTTGATTTTATATATTACTTATCCAGTTCCTCTTCTCCTATATCCTCCAACTTACAGCCGAATAATACGTCTCCAATGAACTCCAATATCATTCCAATTATTTCACAATTCTCCATCACTTCGCCGTTATGATTTACAAACTTTTACTAAACCTTAGAGCCCTCAACAATGGTTTTATATACAATTTGGTCATACATTTGGCCTTATAGTATGTACTATATGTATATACGATTATCTGTTTTGAACTTGGTACATTTCCATGGCTAATCGTACATACTTCATTTAATGGCAATCCATTTCGCTATAAATACAATTATTTTGGTTCAGCATGATATTCCAAACGTTTAAAGATTAAAACATAGTTTTATTAAAAACAAACACATCCATTACAGCCATTTCAATAAACGTCATAGCCGTACATGGGTCCCTCCATGTAGGCTTTCTGTTGGTCCGTGGAATTGCGACGGATTCTTCTGCCGATGGGCTCTAGATCCGCATAGCACTTGGGAAAAACCCGCTCCACAGCCGCAATGGCATCTGATTTACTTATATTCCGCACAGCCAGCACAGAGGCCAAGGCCTTGGTCTTGACGCAGTTCTAGGGATCATAATAGATCAGGATAAAACGATTTTGCATACGAATTTACTTTGAAATTGATTCACCCACCTGATGCGCCTCTTTTACGTTAAAGGGTGAGGCATCGCCCTGGAACATGGCACTCAAAAAAGAGCAATGCGCCAGATTGGCCGCTCGGATCTCCGTACACGCCAGGTGATCTACATTTCGGAAGTCCAGATCGTTGTTGCAGTAATCGAACATGTGTATCATTTCATGCGTAAGCACGCCATGCACCATGCTTTTGTTCTTGGCCATATTCTGGCAGACCACAATCTGATTCAACTTTGGATCGTAGCCACCAGTCACGGAAGGATCACACACCTCGCAGGAGATGTGCCGACGCAGGTCGATGGGGCACCCGGAACTCTTCAGTGCTCCCATCATTAGTTTGACCAGTGGACCGTTCTTCACACACCAATAGACATTCTGTTCACATTTATAGCGATCAATGTTCTCCTGACCTTCCATACCAAAGAGGATGCGTGTCCACTTGGGCTTGAAGGTTACGCCGCGTCGCTCCGGATACAGATCATAGCCCCAATCCTTACTCTCATTGCTGGGCGTTTGGTCGTTGGAGAGGTTGGCGTCCTGAACATCCTGGGAATCGATTGCAACGACGGGTGGAGTTGGTGGCTTTGCCTTTGTGTCAGTGGGCGTTTCAATATCTATAGGCGTGGGCGCTTCTTTGGCCCACACTTTTGTCAGAAAATCCATAGTTTAGAGGATTTCTAAATCTCCAATTGGTTGAATAACAAACCGGCAGCTGATTTGGTCAGCGATACCAGACCGCTACAAAATTAAATAGAAGGGGCTTAAGAGTGCTAAGTTCGTTTTTCATCATACGCGGCGCTATATTGTTGTTGAGGAAACAAATTTGAGGAAAAAACAATCCAAGTAATCGCCGTAGCAGGAAAACAAGTCAAGCATTTAAAATACGCCAGTCAAGTAGAAAATTGATTCATTAATCGGATAAAATTATGCGGGCAGGGCTGAGAGATCTATCTAGCCAGTAATACTTGACGGAATATCAAAAACGAGGAATACGTATAATAGAAATTGAATTCATCAGTATATTTTAAAATGAGGCGGTATAATTTGGTATATTTCAGAGAGTCGGCACCAGTGCTGCCGACTTTTTATCGGAAAAATTGTGTTTCTAACTTGAAGAAAACGAAAAAAAGCTGAAAATTATTAAACCATTTATTATATTTGAAATCAATTTTGGAATATTTTCAACTTTAAGGTAATCCAAAATTTTGTTAATTAAATTTTAACGGAAAAAGGTTCTTTCTTTTTGTGTAACATGTGGCAAAATCAAAAGATCCAGAATTCCCGCTTCCCGCAATTCACAAATTTTTCCCGCATTTGGTCTTCACAAAAAGCCAGATCTAACGGGAAAAAAGCTTAATCGGCAGCACTGGTCGGCACTGCTGCCGGCATTTATTATAGCAAATACCACGTAAGATTACCATTCCACACTCATACATTAGTCCCAATCACACAAAGTAATATGCACCGTGCAATAAGCCAGCAGTTGTTAGCGATATTGGCAGCGATATTAGCTTTAAGTGTGATTCTGTGTGTAGCCACCGAAGTTCCACGCCCCCGCGGAGTATCTCTAATTAAGGCAGCGCTGTATCAGCCTCGAGGGGGCGACAATAGCTGGACCTGCTTGGATGGCAGCAAAACGATTCCTTTTGTACAGGTGAACGATGACTACTGCGACTGTCCCGACGGGAGCGATGAGCCAGGCACATCCGCCTGCGCGCAGGGCCAATTTCACTGCCTCAACAAGGGCCACGAGTCTGTGGACATTCCCAGCTCGCGTGTCCAGGATGGCGTGTGTGACTGCTGCGACGGCAGCGATGAGTCACAGGTGGTTGGGTGTGCAAACACCTGTGCGGAGTTGGGCGCTGCAGCTGCCATCCAGCGCAGGAATCAAGCAGAGCTCCACAGGCAGGGTGCTGAGAAGCGACTGGAGATGATTGCACGGGGTAGACAACTGAGAGCAGATAGGGAAACACGCCGAATGGAGCTGGAGCGACGTATTAAGGATCAGGAGGCTCTGAAATCCGAGAAGCAGCAGATTAAGATCAACGCCGAGGCCTTGGAAAGCGATGCTCTGGAGGTCTTCAAGGAGCAACAACGGGAGCTGGATGCGGATACCGTTCAGGCCGAAGAGGAACCCCAGCAAATGCGCCACGAAGCTTCGCTCAGCTTTGCGGTGTACGATATTAACAAAGATGGCTTCGTGGAGGTCACCGAACTGATGGTGGACATCAATCTCGACCGCGATCGCAACGGCGTGGTCACCGTAGAAGAGGCCAAGTACTTCTTGGATGAACGTGAGCGAGTGGATCTAGATGCCTTCGTCACCCTGGCCTGGCCACGCATCAAGCCCTTGAAAATGCTGGCCGAGGGTCTGTTCCAGCCCCCGCATGCGGAAGAGCAGGTTCCTCCAGTCGGAGAAGTGCCAGTTGAGGCGACCACTGAAGGAGTCCAGCCAACGCCGCCCCAGCCCACCGAAGGTAGGAAGATTTTCACTTGAAAATTATCACCATCGTTAGACATTTTTATCTAATCAGAATTAAATTTACAGAACAAGTCGACATGGAAGATAGCACGGATGGGGAGGCTGATGAAGAAGGCGACGAAGATCAGTACGATGACGAGGATGGAGACGTGGGTGTGGGGGAAGCCTCGCCGGAAGTGGAAGCTCCTGCACCGCCTATTTACGATCCAGAGACACAGCGTCTCGTAGAACAGGCCAATGAGGCCCGCAATGCCCTGGACGAGGTTGAGCGTAACATACGCGAGATCGAACAGGAAGTCAAGGAGATTGATGAGCAGAGTTCCAAAGACTACGGCCCGCAAGAAGAATGGGCAGTGCTGGACGGCGAATGCTATAACTTTGAGGATCGTGAATACGTTTACACTTTGTGTCCGTTCGACAGGGCCTCGCAGAAGCCCCGAAACGGTGGAGCCGAGACAACCCTCGGTCGCTGGGAACAATGGATTGGCGAGGGTTACAAGTACTCAAAGCAGAAATACGGCAATGGAGCCGCCTGCTGGAACGGCCCCCAGCGGTCGGCCATTATCGACATTAGATGCGCTCTGGAGCCACGTATCACGTCAGTTGGCGAGCCCAATCGCTGCGAGTACTACTTTGAGTTTGAGACACCAGCCGCCTGCGATAGCGAAGCTCAACAGGCGGAGAACGTGCACGACGAACTTTGAGAACACGATGGAACGCAAATGTGTCGATAGCCCGAAAAGATCAGAGATTTGAAGAGGATTGTATTTTAGTTGTAGAGAGTGGATTCTTTTGAAATATCATATTTGTCGCGATCATTCCCATGCTGAAAGGAGCGAGGGCGGCCAAGCGCGGGCGAACGTCATTAAGAAATATAGTGAAATCATTCAGTCTATGCATTTAAGCAAAACTTAAGAAAACATGTTTCAATTTGAATAAAGTGTAAACAGTTAGTATTTTTAAAAGATATTTTAGTTATTTAGTAAATCTGTGTCTATGCGTGTGTCTGTGACTCGGTGACGGCCTGCTTGATGTCCTCTAGATAGCCGTCCACCTGCTGCTCCAGGGCGAGAATGTGCCCCGTATTGCAGTTTTCCGCCCCAACAAAGGTCAGGATCAATGGCAGCTTGTTCATTTGGACCACTTGATAGTTGGAATACATCGATATGATGGTCTTGTTGCGACCCAAGCCCAGCTTGCTGGCCTGATCGCAGGCTGTCGTGAATGTGGGTATAAACGAGGGCATCAGGGCGAAATCCACATTCTTCTCCTGACCCACACGGAGGAGGGGAACGCCGTCACGATCTGTTATCTGTATGACGTGCAGCCCGCTGACCCTGCAGTGAGGAGAGGCGGATAATGATACATGTCGTTTCAGCAATGATACATTACTGATGCGGGACATACTTCTCCAGAAGGCCATTGAAGTACGTCTTAATGTCGTCCGACATGGATAATGAGCAAAATGGCGACGGAGAAGACTTAAAACTGTTAACTTAACTTTTTTTTCAACATTCACAGCTATTTACACAAAACAAACCAAGAAACAGCTGATCCAACTATCGATATACATTATACATATATAATATTTAATATATCGGTAAGAGACCGCGGACTGCTGCGTGGAAAATAGTTTTTTTTTTACTTTTCTTAAATTCTTAGCGTTCGAAAACGGGTTAAAGTAGTCATCTAGTAGTCCCTTAGCTTCAGGTAACTTCCACTATGGTGACAGGAGATCCCGGGGCCACAAAGCCCACATCTTCAGCCGGTTCAGATGATGACGACTACACATCATCCATGTCCCACCTCACCATCGGCCAGCAGATACAAGAGCTGTCCAAGCGGCTGCAAAACACCACTGAGGAACTGCATCAGCAAGTGCGTGACAAGCACGGAGCGCTGCTACAGCAGGCCACCCATGCAGGACGCTTTGATGCTGCTCTCAATACGCTAGCGGAGGAAGTGCAGCGGGTACGAGAGACCGGACATCGCCTCAAGGGCCAAGTGGATACGCAATACCAATTGGTGGAGAATCAAACTCAAGTGCTGGGTCGCCTTCATGATGTCAGCCATTTACTGCGCTCGGCCGGGACGCTTCTTGCCCTGACGGCCAAATTAAAGAGCACCAAAGATGTGCTACGTCAGGCGGAGCTCCATTTCGAGCTGGCGCAGCTAATAGATGACAAGGACCTGAAGGACATTGAGTTTGTGCAAAAGGAGCGTGCTTTTGTAATCAGCTCGGGCCAGAAGATTCGGAATCTAACGCAGATGCAGTTGGTTACTGGACTCCAGGAGCGCAATCAAAATCAAGTGGTTAATGCATTGAAGGTGGGTATTGAAACAGTATTGGTGGACCTGCAGATAATCATTGTTTAATTTTAGATCTTCATGAACTTCAATACACTGGAGAAATCCCTTGAGAACCTGTTGGCCACATTCATAGCCGACATGGAGCAATCCCTCAAGGAGTGTTTTGCCGGAAACGACATTTCGGTGCTCAACAAGTCGCCCACGCAAGGAACTGGCAGCTCCACGGTTAAACCTGCTGCATCCCGTGGCCCAGGCAAGACGCCACAGTTGACTACAACGCAAAATTTCCGAGCAAAATTCTGGAAATCTTTGCACTGGCTTCTGTACGACGAGCTCTACGAAAGTTGCACCCAGATCAAACTGCTCAAAGCGGCTCTGGAGCAGATTAATCAGTTTGGTTACACTTCCGAGTCCTCGGATCAATACATACCCCGGCGCTTTTGGCAGAAAGTGCAACAGTTGCTGCGAAAATCCTTCGATGAGTGCTCACAACATGTCACCCAGACCCTGCAGGAGGGTCTGTCCAAGTTGCTGACTTCGGCACGCGGCCTGGAGCAGCGTCTAAATGGAGAATTCAAGTTTGAGAACGAACTATTTGCTCCACTGGAGGTGGGCTACGTGAGCAAGTGCGCTGCCAACATGAAGGCTTGCCTGGCCGGCGTTGATTTGCCAGGAAATGAGACAGTGGACAACTTTATACGCGTGGCTTCCACTGAGCTGAGTGCTGCCTTGATTGATGGGCGTCTGACAAATTCGATAGCGAATGTCTTTATCGCCTGTGGCAAGGAACTGTGCACCAAACTGGAGGCGCAAATCAAATTAGGTGCCGACTCCAAGCAGGTGGTGGACCTGCCCAATCTTCAGCAGCAGCAGAATACTACGCTGGCAAATGTTCTGTATTACTACAAAGATTCAGTACGACGCATGCTGAGCGATCTGCAAGTGCAGTTCGAAAAGACCCCAGGAACGGCTAGGGACAATATTTTCCGCTCCCTGGAGCAGGCAGATTTGCTTATTGGAACCATTTTGCAGCAGATTATGGAATCAATCATTACAACTATAAGCATAATTATCCTGAGCATGCATCGTGAGCCGGGGCTAAACTCGGAGAGGCTGTCCACCACGGGTCCCTCAATGTACATGAAGGAATTGCAAGTGAGTAATCCTTAGATTTGTAATTTTCCTTCTGCTAAAAAATCGTTTGATTGAAGGAGTTTGTCAGCCGTTCCTGGTCGAATCACATTGCCCTTTTCGATGATAAGCCCATGACGACGAAATGTGGCCACGAGTTGGCAAAGCGTTGCATAGAGCTCTTCCTACACAATGTCTGCATTTTGCGTCCCCTGAGCAGAGCGGGAAGGCAGCGGCTAAAGCAGGATTGCCAGCATATGGATCAGGGTCTAAGGCCGCTCTGTGCCAATCTTGCCGAACTTGGCAAGCCCTCGCGACTTTTGCGCGCCATGTCTCTGCTTATCGTTCAGAGCCCGCAAGAGCTGGTGAAGCAAACGATCGGAGAAGATTCTCTGGTTCCCAGTTACATTGTGCTGCTGCTCCTATTTGGCCACGCCGGAGCGGACCTTCAGTCGCCACACACCACCGCCAATTGGTCAAATGAACGTCTGATCGAGTGGTTGGATGGACATACGGCGGAAAGGGAGAAATTGGAGCTGATATCGGGGGCACTACAAAGATATAGGGATAATGCCAGGCGCAAGAATATTCAACAATATGACGAGGTCTATCCCATGATGGTGGATTATTTTGAACAGGCCCTGAAGGCTATTCCATAATTATTCTTTATAGATCGTAAAATATTTAAAATAAATTATGTTCATAACACCCTTTTAAAAATCTCTTGAAATCACTTCATAAAATCAGCAGCAAGCAGGCAAGCACAACAAAAATGGAGGGTATCATTCAAAAAAGTGCCAGCCGGCTAGGAAAATTCAATAATGCAGACAAATGTATCCTTTTATATTATTAAGACTAAGCTATAAAGGAAAGCATGATATCATAATATATAGTGGATATATTTTTAAATATATCTTCCTTCACAGAGGACTTATGTACTTATGATTTCCCCCCGCCAGATGGTATCCTATCGTCATTCTTCGACCTGGCCATCGAAAACGACTATGGCAACCAAGGGAGGAGCTACGCGGCCTAGACTCTAAATAGATCTCTGTGTTGTTAGGTTTAAGGATATAGATAGTACGGGTAGATACAAATGTTTTCCATTTGTTTATTTATTAATACTAAGCAAAGTTATGATAAATACAAATGTTAAAAAATAATCCTTGCTGTATTCCGTTTCGGGGAAACTATCCCGATTAAAAAAAAGGCGTGGCCCAGATCGGTTCGCAAATAGCGCAAAAAACTAAATATAGTTGATTGAGGAAAATGTCCTTGATCCTTGATAAGGACTCCATTAACTCAGGGACATTTTTTCGATCACAGGAAAGTATCGCATGTCCAGATCGGGCAACAAATTGCCGAGAAATCTAAATATGTATGGTTTAGGTTTTTGGAGTCCTTACCGAAGGATAAAAGAAAATTTTTCTGATCATGGCGGGCCAATTCACCGCCGATCAGGCCTCAAATAACGGAGAAAACATAACGGGTTTGTAATTTATTATTTTTTAATATGTAGTTCAAGAAATCACCGATAGAGACGACACCGTACAAAAAAAAAACTCGCGTCAATTGGCTGGGAATACCAGAGGAACATAAATCAGCAGAAGGTAGCTGATTTCTTTAATTTTAAGTGCCCCAAAAGTATGCTACACTGTTTTTTGCATTTGCTACAGTTGCTTGCCACTGATTTCTGTTCGCCTGGTATTCCAGCCATTTGACGCGAGTTCTTTTTGTACGGTGTCGCCTCTATCGGTGACTTCTTGAACTACATATTAAAAATAAAAATTACAAAACCGTTATGTTTTCTCGGTTATTTGAGGCCCGAACGGGACATGCGACGGCTTCCTGTGATCGGAAAAATGCCCCTGATTTTAGGAAGTCCTTTTCAAGGACCAAGGATCAAGGATATTTTCTGCAGACATATATATCTTGTTTTCTCCCTTATTTGTGGCCCGATCGGGGCGTGTCATGGCTTCCTCTGATCGGAAAAATGTCCCTGATTTAATGGAGTCCTTATAAAGGACCAAGGATCAAGGATATTTTCTACAGACATATATATCTTGTTTTCTCCCTTATTTGTGGCCGTATCGGGGCGTGTCATTGCTTCCTGTGTTCGGAAAAATGTCCCTGATTTAATGGAGCCCTTATCAAGGATCAAGGATCAAGGATATTTTCTCCAGACATATATATCTTGCTTCCTCCCTTAGTTGTGGACCAATCGGGGCGTGTCATGGCTTTCGTGATCGGAAAAATGTCCCTGATTGTTATTTAAGGACTCCAACAACCCCAACCTTACATATATTTCATTTTTTCGTCTATTTTTTGGTAAAAATGTTGTTGGAAAAAATTTCCCTGATTTAATGGACCCTTATCAAGGATCAAGGAAACTTTCCTTAATAAAAAATATCAAATTTTCTCCGCTATCTGTGAACCGATCTGGGCGTGCCCGCCCTTTTTTATCGGGATAGTTTCCCCGAAACAGGATACAGCAAGGATGATTTCTTAACATTTTTATTTATCAGTATAAATAAATAAACAAGTGGAAAAAATGTGTATCTACTATCTAAATGAGCGCGTATATCCTTAAACATGAGAACAACAGGATATGTCTAGAGTCTAGCCCGCGTAGCTCCTCCCTTGACGATGGCCTTTTACGATCGGATCTTGCAGGGTGTGCGGTTCTGTCCTGCTGGGATAGGACTGTGTCTGTCTCAAATACGCCTCGGTAATGCTTGGATAGGTCTTCGGATACAACTCGGCTTGCGGCAAAGCATCTTCAAAGTCCTCTGTGAAGAAAGATATAGTATTTAAAAATATATCCAAAGTTATATACTGAATTACTTACGCGTTTTGCAGGGGAAGCCCAGCGTTTGATTCGATGGCGTTTTAATGGGGGGTTGCTGACATTATTTCTAGTGGGCTTGTAGTGGGCACCAACAATTACGCCAGGAGCACATCCCTTGGACCTCCCGAAATGACAAGGAGCTACGGCGGAATCACCCGCGGAGGAGGTACCGACGCAGAGGTGACTGGAAAGTCGGAGAAAACAGCGGACCCAAAAGGCCCAGTGTTCAGGTGCCGGTGGGCAGATCAGCAGATCAGGTGAAAGATACCGTAGTTTATTTTGTTAATAGTTAAAAGTTAGGATGTATTATTTTCCACGGTTCCACGTTTTTACATCGGTATATTCTGGTATATTTTGAAAAAGAGACGGTATATTTCGGTATATTTCTGAGGTTAGACGGTATATTTTTTTCGATATGCCAGAGTGACATGCCAACATAATTTTTTTCCAAATTACCGATTTAACCAAATAAAAACTAAAAGTTTAATAATTTCAACAAGATGCCAGACGCCGTGCAGCAAAGTTTTGTCCGTTCCTTCATAGACTATTTGAAGAAGCAGCTGGATCTGATGTCCCCCGATCAGAGCGAGAGCATTGAGGTGGCCATCCAGTGCCTGCAGGCGGCATTTGATGTTGGCGAAGAGGAAACGGAGGCCGAGCAAATCGAAGCCACCGCACAGAGCACAACGAGTTCACAGCCCGGCACAGATGCAGCTGCTACAAGTAGCAGCACATCCTCCACCACTGCCGTGAACACCAAGAATATCGACATGTTCGAGCTCTTCCAGTCGCTGTACATTGAACGCAATCCAGAGTCCCTGGCGCTGGCCGAGTCAATCAAGAACGAGGGCAACCGCCTGATGAAGGAGTGTAAGTACAACGAGGCCCTGCTGCAGTACAACCGCGCCATCACCTTCGACCCCAAGAACCCGATATTCTACTGCAACCGCGCTGCTGCCCACATCCGTCTGGGTGACAACGAGCGCGCTGTCACCGACTGCAAGTCATCCCTTCTCTACAACAACAACTACAGCAAGGCTTATAGCCGCCTGGGCGTCGCCTACTCGAACATGGGAAAGTTCAACGAGGCGGAGCAGGCCTACCGCAAGGCCATTGAATTGGAGCCGGAAAATCTCGATTACAGGAACAACCTGGAAGTGAACCGCAATTCACGCAATCAGCCCCCGCAACTTTCGCACCTAACCGACGGCCTGAACGCAATGCTGGCTAATCCCACGATCCGCAATCTGTTCAGTAGCGCCGAGATTGACCTCACGCAGCTGCAATCGATGACCCAGAATCCCATGGTAATGAACACTATTGGCCAACTGTTTGCCACCATGGGCACCCCAGGCGTCGGCGGAGGACCCGCTGCTCCCGGTGGGGCTGGCCCTGGCGGTGACGGTGGTGGCGCCGCTCCACAGATCCCACCCATGCCCAACGATATGATGCAGCTGTTCCAAGCCTTCGCCAGCCAACTGGTGGGGCCCCAGAACCCAGGCGCCGGCAATCCCAATGCTGGTAACGGAGAACAGCCGGGCAACCAGCCGCCCCCGAGCATCTGAAAAACAAACTATAATTACTGTATTTTTAATGTTTAAAAAGTTTCGATTACACATAACATACATATACATAAATATATATTTTTATTGATGGTAATAAATATATACCTACAAAAATATGATTTTATCAGAGAAACATAGAACTTTCTCGAACATTTCTTCGATGAGAAACTTTTTCCATGGAGATTACATAATTCAGCGGATAATATTACTTATTCATCCCTCTGCCAAACATAAATATATTCCTTCTAGAAAATATAAATGGCCGAAGCATTTGATACCCTTCCCAATATATCGTTCTTGCTTTCATTTGAAAATTTAGTTGAAGAAACACATTACCTAAACTGCACCTTGTTTTCTTCTGTGCTTTGCAAACATAGGCTGAAAATCATAATACCCTCGCCAAAGGGCTGGCAATAAAACGGCTTTGATTTTTGTAAGTGTTCGTTCTTTAATGTTGCTTTTATTGGATTCAAAAAATTTATATTTTGCGGTTTGCAGCTCTCTAAGTGGTACAATTATTGATTATATGTTAAATAAAAACTAATAATTATGCACGTATTGCTTGTAAAAGAAACAAAAGCCGGTTCAAAAAACTCCGTGGCACACAAATAGAATTGGTTGCAATGCCTCGTTGGAGAACAAAGAATCGAGTTTCAAGATTATGCGGTTATTGTTATTTATGTGGCTTTAATTATGGATTACGTTTAATTAAGTTTATAGTTTGATTTTGCAAGAATTCTTTTGGCTGGCTCTATTTTTAAATCTTATAATAGACAGAATCGAGTTGGTGGAGCGTGATGTAATTTGAAACAAGAGCAACGTACGCACGAGTAATGATAATGAGAAGAATGAACGTGGAGCTTGGCGGTTTTTAAAGATTTTATAGCCAAAAATCTTTCACAAAACAATAAAAGCAATGCGAGCTAGTGTTGAATTTTTTTTAAAAATGTTGCTTGCCCTTACACTCCGGGGAAAATTGTGCAATTCTGTAACAAACCAAAGGGAGAAAGTTAATTGGAAAACTGACATTACTTACCAGCCGCCGCCAAGAGAAGTCGATTCGTTTGCTTTTGTTTTGTTGTAGTAGACCCTGGCCTAAAGTCAGGACTATTGAAGTTGTTTTATTGTGGACGAAGATTTGGGATATTCTAATCTCTGGTAATTGATTTTAGTTTTAGGACTAGGAAAGACAATCCATGCAGAAAGGTGCAGAGTGGCTGGTGCTTCAATATCTGTTGTAGCGTCGATTCCTGTAACCACCGCCACCGCCACGCTGCCTCCCGCGGTTATTGTTGCCGTAGTTTGGATTAACTTTGTGCGAGTATTTTCCAGATGGTGGCGAATAAAATTTCTGATCGTTGGATGGTCGCGACTTCTTCTCTACGTCCTGGTCTTTCTCCTTGCCGTTGGCTTCGGGTTTCTCCCCGAATGTGATGGGTGCATGTCGTTTGCCCAGCTTGTTCTGGATATAAACAGAAAGTTTGAAGTTTTTTGATCTACAGAATCATATAAATTGTTCATATTCTTACAGCTTTTGGCACAATCCAGGATAATACAATATCATGCTTGAATATGGGTGGTGAATGGAACAAATCGCGTATCAATACATTGATATTTGATGTTGTTTTCAGCGCCGTTTGCTTCAGTTGATTCTCCTCTGTCTTCAACTCCTCGGCTGATTTTCCCTTTAAAGCCTCCTCTAGTTTTTTAATATACCTGCCAAAAGATAAGGAAAATTGGTATTCATTCTATTGATTATGTCTGTATCGAGTGTGATGCCTACCCCTGTGTTCCCCTGGCTAGATATTGCAATCTAGCACGAAAGTCTTTCAGTTTCTCAGCGTCTTCTACAAAACTTAAATTAGTTGGATGTTTCTTGCCAAGCGTGTGCAGTGCATAGAGCAGGCATTCGGCATGCGAAAACTCAAACGAGGGTGGCACATCTACCAGATCCACCTCGCTCAGCTTGGGCAATGGCATGTACTCCTGTAAAATCATCAAAAGGCGTTAAAAATTAAATAATTTGGATGAAGTATGTTTGAAATACCAACCAGTAATACATTATAGACATTATTGATGCGTTCGTTAGCATTCTCGAGCTTGTCCGTGTTGGTTATCATCTCGGCAAATACTTTAAGCAATCTTAATTGGATTTGATCTTGTGACACTGCTGTGGCGATCATGTTCCATGTCGGAATAGGCAACAGTTTGTCGCAGACATGGGCAACGAAAGCAGTCGATTTGATAGTTTTCTATGGGTAGCATAAAGAAGAGGTTTAGATTTGTGGATACTTAATGCAAGTCCCTTTACTCACCGAAAAGTATGGTGCAGCAGCAGTGGCACATTGAACGAAACGTTCCACAACCTCATCATCTACAGCAATGATATCTGTATCTGTGTTATTGAGCTCTGCCTGTTCCGTTGCCAGCTTGACAAGCTCGGCGTGTCCGGTAATGGTGTTGCCCAGTTTTGTGGCACCCAAAATGGTCATACACAAATGAAACTCATCGGCCGTGACATCCTGCAGGGCCTTCTTGATCTCCTCGACAATGTATTCTTCAATTTCCTTGGTTATAACAGTGGGACCCATGGTCAACAACTTGGTTGAAATAAACTTGAAGCAGCGCTCTCTTGTGGGCTCATCGCCCGTGTTGATTTGTTGGAATATACCGGTTACAACGCTCTTTGTGTCCATTTTGATGATACTTAGCAGTGAATTGTTCACTTGCTGCAGCTCTGTGGCATCGTCCAGTATCAGCAGCTGAGCGAGAGTGTCGGCCACGCGCGTAGTCGCATCCGGATTTCCCTGACATAATTTGGGCAAATCTTTAATGGCCTGACGGCGAATCTGGAAAATATGCCATAACATAACATAATGAAGTTAATCGAGAACGAGGAGAGCTCATGTGCGTGCAAACCTGGTTGTCATCATCTTCGCAAAGATCGAACTGTGCATCAATAGCTGTTTCGGCCAAATCGGGGAAGTGCTTAAAAAAGTTTCCAATAAATTGCGATGCCAAGCGCTTCTCCTTTGACGAGCCTTTTACAGCCTTCAGTATTTCCTTATACTCATCCACGTGCTGTAATGAAATGCAAGAACATAACATATTTATTTCTCGCCAAATTCCACATAGCAACTACAGTTGTAGTGCCGCGTCTTTCAGCAATGGCGGACCGAGCCGCGTACCTCAGAAATTTTATCGCCCGCCTCGGACAATATCTCGTAGCATTTGTAAAGTCGCTCTATGTTGTCCATCTTTCTTAATCAATATACTTCAATAATCACAACAAAATTACACTTTTGCAGTCACTTTTTCACAGATAAACGAATTTTATAAGCGACAAAGTCCCCACTCCACTTTTTTAATTCCAAAATGGTGAGCAGATTGTCGATAAAATATAATCCAGAAATATACCAAAATATACCGTCCAATTTTAAAAACATACCGTAAATATACTGACGAATTCAAGTTCTGTTCTAAATATTCCTCGATTCTAATATTCCGTCAAATATTACTAGCTAAATAGATCTCTCAGCGCTGCCCACATAATTTTATCCGAATAATGAATCAATTTTCTACTTGACTAGATCTTTTTAAATACTTTACTTGTTTTCTTGCTACGACGATTGTTGTTTTTGCTCCTCAACAACAATATAGCGTCTCGTTATGATGAAAAACCGAACTTAGCCCACTCCACAGCCCTCTATTTCAATAGTTTAACTACTTCAGGTAAATGGCTGAAAATACTTACGATTGTAACTTATTGTTGTAGATTCCTGCCATCTTTCATCTGAACTTAAAAATAACAGCACTAACTTTCACCTGAACTGCGCTAAAATTATTAAATGTTCATTATTTTCGGTGAAAAATTGAAATACCCCTATCGCTTATAACAGGTTAATCGTTCTCCGTCAAGGATTGAAAACCATATTGCTCAATTTTGATGTTCCGTCGAATATTATAAGCTAGATAGAACATTTAGCTATGCCCACATAGTTTTATACGATTGATGAATCAATTTTCTACTTAACTGCCTTACTCTTATTACTTGCTTTTATTGGATTTTGCGTAAAAAAGGGTTTTAGAAAAAATAGAGAAACAATTTCTCAATTTTGGTATTCCGTTGAATAATGCTGACTACCTAAAACCCTCTGATCTACAAGATTAGCTAATTTTAAGTACTTCTTTTCATTATATTGTGTCTAATACAAAGTTGAAACAAGATCAACAAAAACAGTATGTATGGTGACAACAGTGAGTATGGAATGTACTGCGAGGACGATTTGGTAGCGAAAAACCTGCGAATGGAAGTTTCTATACCCTATCTTCCTTAATATACATTTAATAATTAAATGTAATATATTGATGAAATTTATCAAATATGCCATTATACACCAATATAGCGTACATATACCGTCTGCTCAATTTTCAACTCAAAAAATACCGTTTCGATAGCAATACCGAAAAAGGTACTTTCGATCTATAAACTGGATGGTAGCGCTTTTTTTGATTTGCTTCATATTCATTAATGATGTTTCCAAAGCTCAGCTAAATATGATAAAGTATAAACATTTTTTTTTTTGCTAGATATGTTTTAATTATGAGGTAATTAAAAAATCTTTACACAGGTTCATTATATAGGGTTGCAGCAGGAGAAATTGTAGTGTCGACACTCAGCGTGCTTGCGGATATGTTGTCGAGGGTTTCGGAAAGAGGGAAGGATGACACGTTCTTTGTGTGAATAAGGGTATGTCTTTTAAGAATACCTTTGAGTTTAAAAGATTCGGGGCAGTAGGAACATTTGTAGGGCCGTTCATCTGAGTGCGTCCTGATGTGAGTCAAGAGATTTCCTCTCTTGCTAAAAGATTTCGAGCAATACGAACACTGGTGTGGCGAGAGTTCACCTGTGTGAGTACGGGTGTGCATTTGAAGATAGTAGTTTTGATTAAATGACTTAGGACAGAGAGTGCACTTATATGGTCGCTCCCCGGTGTGTGTTCGGATGTGTACCTGGAGGTCGGAATTTTGTATAAAGGACTTCGAGCAGAGCGAACATTTGTAGGGTCGATAACCAGTGTGCGTTCGAATATGACTCTGAAGAATGTCAGATCGAGTAAAGGACTTGGAGCAGTAAGTGCACTTGTAGGGTCGCTCCCCCGTGTGGGTGCGGTTGTGTACTTGGAGATGGGACTTTTGTTGAAATGACTTTGTACAGTGAGAGCATTGATATGGTCGATCACCTGTGTGATTTCGGGTATGTGATTCAAGATTGGATTTTTGGATGAAAGACTTTGAGCAGTGTGAACATTGGTAGGGTCGTTCATTTGTATGCATTTGTACGTGTCTCTGCAGATGGAATTTTTGTTTGAAACTCATCGGACAATGAGGACATTTGAACATCATGGCATCGGCTTTAAAATGGTTTGACCGCTCACTTCCACTAGCTGACATTTGCCATTTCTCGTCTTCCAGATTATAGCATAAATCTTCTTCTATATCGTCCTCCATCACTGGGAAATATAGTTGATGGCTCTGCTCATAGGTTTTTATAAGATTGAATGCATTTACAGCATCCTCAAGGCAAGGCGGACATATGTTCTCTGATAGTAAATCGCCTCGCCTTACCTCGTACCCAGTACACTGTGCTATCATGTCAGCAATGCAAGTGTCCCATGTGTGTGTCTCATCAAAAATGTTTGCGAGTGCTCCGGAGTTTCCCATGCAAACTCTGCACATTTCCTCCATTGTCCTGCAAGTAAATGAATCGTAAATAAAGGGAGTCTAGGAACGCAACATTACTTGCGGGAATCGAGTCGACATAACAATAACCAACCAAATTGTGCGGCTTCTTCGAATTTCTAATGTTTCCTTGCTCCAATTTGTTTTGTTTCAAGAAAATTTTTACGAAAACTGTGCTGTTAGGCGCCAAAAACATCTGTTGTAATATTATGTTAGCGGAATAATTCGTATGGGCTGGTTCTTTTAAAATATGGGTATGCCTGAAAATGAATTAGATTGGCTTGGTATTAATATTGCCTTCCTGCTTCGCAACTGTGTTGTAGCGTTCTGTGGACCTCTCAAAATTCTATTCACAAATTCGCTGTTAACGGGTCAGTTTATTGGTAAGTGGAAAGCTGCCACGATTACGCCAATTTTTAAGAGAGGTACCAAAAATCTCATTTCCAATTATAGACCAATTGCCAAACTCAGCAATGTTTCAAAACTTCTAGAGCGAATCATTGCCAGAAAGATCACCTTCCTCATGAAATCGTACATTAGCCCAAATCAGCATGGTTTTATGCCGGGTAGATCAACAACCACTAATCTCATTGCTTTCAGTAATTTCTGCACTCGTGTCTTTGAAATGCACTCTCAAGTCGACGTTGTGTATACTGACTTTGCTAAAGCCTTTGACAAAGTCTCCCACTGTGCTTTAATAGCCAAGCTGCATCGGTTGTGGATTCATTCCTGCCTGCTCAGTTGGTTTAGGTCGTATCTTGAGCGGCGAGATTATGTCGTATTGATAAATGGAAAGCCTTCGGACCCATTCTTGGAAAAAAATTAAAATCTACTACAAGTCGGACTTAGAGATGATTTCTTGTAAGATTTATTATATACGTATATAATTCCATAAATTAATTTTCTTCATACATGTATGTTATGTATTTATTCTTTAAATCGAAACTGTTCAGAATAATAAATCTAATCTATTATTTTTCCATATTCTATTGTATTGTGTTTGTTATATGTAGTCAGCTTAGGTTGAAATTGTGACGGATCTTTTTTGAGGATCCCAATTGTTGACCATCTAGATAAAGTAGTTCCTCAGTACCGTCCTAAAGTACCTTAATTAGCGTTGTATCCCATTCAAATAGTTTCAATAATTCACTCGCATTCGAATCTTCGAAGTCTTTAAAGAGGTTCCGGTTCATCTTTGAAGGGTAAGAACTCGTAGGGTTCAGGAATGACACATAAGTCATTGTTTGTGTGGGTAAGGATGTGCTTTGTGTAGCTTTTGTTTTTGTGTTTAAATGACTTGGAGCAGTAGGAGCATTTGAAGGGTAGCTCCCCCGTGTGGGTACGACTGTGTCTTTGGAGATGATATTTCTGTTTAAATGACTTCGAGCATTGAGAGCATTGGTAGGGTCGATCCCCTAAGTGAGTACGGATGTGTGCGACAAGCTTAGATTTGCGTAAGAAGGACATTGAGCAATCGCTGCATTTGTAGGGTCGTTCATCCGTGTGCATTTTGTCATCGCTTGTGTGAGTAAGGATGTGTTTTGTGTAGCTTTTGTTTTTGTATCTAAATGACTTGGAGCAGAAGGAGCATTTGAAGGGTAGCTCCCCCGTGTGGGTACGAATGTGTCCTTGGAGATGAGAGTTTTGTTGAAATGACTTCGAGCAGTGAGGGCATTTGTGGGGTCGATCCCCTGTGTGAATACGGATGTGTGCATCAAGTTTTGATTTGTGTAGAAAGGACCTTGAGCAATCGCTGCATTTGAAGGGTAGATCATCCGTGTGCATTCGAATGTGAACTCGTAGGCTTTCTGGAAAGGTAAACAGTTTGGAACAGTGAGGACACTTGTAAGATTCTTCTGTCTCCTTCGAGTGCGTGCGGATATGCACTGTGAGGTGCTTGGATTGGGCATAGGCCTTAGGGCAGTGAGTACACTTAAACGGTCGCTCTCCCGTATGAGTACGGATGTGTTTTTCGAGCTCGTAGTTATGCTTAAAAAATTTTCCGCATTGGGAACATAGGAAGGTTCGATCATCTGTGTGGGTACGCATGTGTTCTGTGAGATAGGATTTTTGTTGAAAGGATTTTGTGCATTCAGAGCATTTGAAGGGTCGTTCACTCGAGTGCGTACGGATGTGTCTTTCAAGATTTGATTTTTGCGGGAAGGTTTTCGAGCATAACGAGCATTCGTAGGGTCTTTCACCAGTGTGGCTACGCATGTGTATTGTAAGATCGCATTCTCGTGGATAGGACTTCGAGCATTCGGAGCATTGGTAGGGTCGCTCGCCGATATGTGAACGGATGTGAACCGAAAGTGTTCCAGCCTGGGCAAAGCACTTAGAGCAGTGCTTACACTTATAGGGCTTCTTTTCAGTGTGCTTACGGATGTGCAATTCAAATTCGTCTTTGTCCAAAAATCCTTTTAAGCAAATCTCGCACATTATATCGCTCCAATCTTTATTAGGTTCCATTTTTCCTGTAAATAAATATATATAAATAAATAAATATATAATATAAATAAACATAGTTCAGGACGCACAATAGCGAATTTAGGCGAACATAAACAACGTACCAAATTGTGCAGCTTTTCTGTATTTAATTTTATCTTTTTATGGATTTGTATTACCTCGCGCCCCTTGAGTGACGTGAGATTATTTGGTCGCCCGCCTCCGCGAAGGTGGAAATTACCAAGTCAAGGAATAGTAGATGTTAGCATTTGACATCAATCATTAAGTTCATTAACTCTTGGTACGCGCTGACGTTGTTTTTTTTTTCAAAGAACTTGTAAATATCATTATATTTTCTTAGAGATGGGAAGTTTTTCCCTGCTGTGATGTACTTGATACGATTAAAAATAGTCGATACTATCGCAAATAGCACACATGTTACTTGGAACAGTCGAACTTCCATACGACGCTTTCTATATAACGAATTTATTTCCAGAATACTGATTTTTTGTACATGCTTTTTGACAAATGTGTGCCTATTTAATGCGTTAGCGCTGAGCAGTCTTTTGCTTCTTTTTTATGGGCATGAAAATCACTAATAATCGGCACTTTGTAGAAGCTGGTGTAACACCGATGTATGCGGACATCGATGCTTTCGATGTTCTGATAGAAAAACATCGATGAAACACCTATGTTTTTAAAATTTTCCGTTCAGATTAGGCCATAGTGGGTATGAAATGAATATACTAATAAATTGTGAAATACACTTGTAACAGTGTCTGGATACACAGAAGTCTGGATAGAAAATTTGGATGCTCTAGCTCTTATAGTCTTTGAGATATAGGTGCTCATGAAGACGGACAGACCGACATGGCTATTGATGCTGATCAAGAATATATATACTTAATGGGGTCGGAAATGCTTATAATTTAATATAATTTTCTAAATCTAAAATACTCCTACACTCTTTGAGTATCGGGTTTAAAAACAAGGGTGCCCACAGCCGGTAACATGACGGCGCAATCACAATAAAAATCACTTTTTCTATATTGTGCTCACAGCCACTACACAAATGCATATATTTATTTCGTTATCAACACGAATACTGCGTATTCTCAACAAAGACGACTCACAATACTAATATCAGTTCCCTAGTTCCTTCTGTGAATACTTAAATTACCGTTGTATTCCCTTTGAATAGTTTTACTAATTCTCTCGCATTCGAACGTGAGCCCAAAAGTTTAATTTGTTTGATCTGAGCATAAAGATGCAATTTTTAAAATCTTTAAGGAACTTCAAGATCAAACTTGAAACATTTTTTTACAAATGTGATCTAAAAGAGTGCTGGAATGGCACACTTGTCGTTCTTTGTGTGAGTAAGAATATGTCTCTGGTAGCTTTTGTTTTTGTATTTAAATGACCTGGAGCAGTGGGAACATTTGTAGGGTAGCTCCCCCGTGTGCGTCCGACTGTGTACTTGGAGATGGGCGTTTTGTTGAAATGACTTCGAGCAGTGAGAGCATTTGTACGGTCGATCCCCTGTGTGAGTACGGATGTGTGCATCAAGTTTGGATTTTTGTAAGAAAGACTTTGAGCAGTTGGTGCATTTGTAGGGTCGTTCATCTGTGTGCATTCGAATGTGAGCCCTTAGGTGTTCGGGCAAACGAAACAATTTTGAACAGTGAGGACATTGGTGAGGTCGTTCATTCGTGTGTGTTCGGATATGAGCTGCGAGATAATCCGATCGGACAAAGCCTTTAGAACAGAGACTACATTTATACGGTCGCTCCCCCGTGTGTGTACGGATGTGTACTTGAAGATCGAAATTTTGCGTAAAAGACTTTCCACATTGGGAACATAGGAAGGGTCGTTCACCCGTGTGCGTACGGATGTGTAATTTAAGTTCGTAGTTTTTTATAAAAGACTTAAGGCAGTGGGAACATTGGTAGGGCCTTTCGCCGGTATGTGTACGAATGTGGTCTCTGAGATGTGTACGTTGAGAAAAAGATCTGGTACAGTGGGTGCATTGGTAGGGTCGCTCACCGGTATGCACACGAATATGATCCCGAAGAGTTCCGGCAAGGGAAAAGGACGAAGAACAGTAACTACATTGATAAGGTCTCTCCCCAGTATGAATACGGGTGTGTAATTTGAGTTCGTCTTTGTGAAAAAAGTCTTTTGAGCAAGCGGAGCATTGGTAGCGTCGTTTACTCGTATGAGATTTTATGTGTCTATATAAGTTGGATTTGTGCTTATACCCATTCGGACAATGGGGACACTTAAACCGAATATTCAAATCCTCATCAGCTTTATATATTTGTTCATTGGTGGCAAAATCAGACTGCACGCTTTCACTACCTGACATTTTCCAGTCTTCGTCTTCAAGATTATCATAGATGGCTTCTTCTATATCCTCTTCCATCACTGGGAAATAGAGTTTATGGCTCTGCACACAGAGTTTTTTAAGATTGAAGGCATTTACAGCATCCTCTAGGCAAGGCGGGCATATTTTTTCTGGCAGTGAATCCCCTCGCCTAACCACGTACCCGGTACACTGGGCTATCATGTCAGCAATGCAAGTGTCCCATTTTTGTGTCTCATCAAAAATGTTTGTGAGTGCTCCGGATCTGTCCATGCAAACTCTGCATATCTCCTCCATTGTGCTGCAAAAAACGAAGTTTAAATAAACGGAATTTAAAAACACACAATTACGAATTGAGGCGAATAAAAAACAAAAAACGAACCAAGTCGTGTGGCTTTTATAATTTGCAAATATTTTTTTTCGTCACAAATTTGTTGTGTTGACCACAGAGCATACGGATAGTGCTGTTAAGCGCAAAGTGTAAAACAGATGATTGCTTTTATGTGCTGTTAGGCGCGAATGAAATCGGAGGACTGTATAAATATTTTATTATCGAAGTTAATTATTTTGAATATAGTGTTTTTATAAACTATTCGTTTGCACAAATCAGAACTAAATTATTTTATTTTCATTCCAAAAAACCTCTTGAACAAAGGATGTCTTTCTGTGAATTTAGATTCATTAACATGCACAAAACCACCGCATTTGAATTTGGCTTGGGACAGGTCAAGAACAAGATTAGCAGTTTTAAGAACTTGAGAGTAATCATAAACACATAGTCATTTTGGTATTTAAAAGTGATACGATCTCGCATACATAGCCCGCAATTAGGGACTCTTCTTAAATCTTTTGGTTATTGATGCCTACGGTTCGGTAGAGATCCTAATCCGGACAGGCAGCTATGTTTTAGCTCCTTTGGATAGCAAAAGTAGAGCTTTTGTCACCTTAAATTGACTTTTGACGAGTCCTGACTGGGCTTTTGGCATTGAATGGATAGTCGCGTCCTTCTTGGTATATGGATAATAGGGTATGCGCTAATCAGCATCCTGGGAACTATCTCTGACAGATTTTACGAAGTGGATAGATTCTTCCGTATCTGTCATCCCCCGTCAATAACACTGTATAGTTTATAAGCCAAATCCCGATGAGTGCATGGTCTGGGGGCATCACATAGCATAAGAAAAATATGCTGGCCATCGTCCATAACATCACCATCGACCTGTGCCATATATAATATATAATGTTATGCAAGCCTTTGCTGATAGATGGCCCACTCCAAATCGGATTCCGAGCCCCAAATCAAATACGACAAATACAAATAATGGACAATAGATTACTACAGACCAATCGCGAGATGAATTTGTATTTAAATTAGTACAATACATTTTTGTCTTTTCGGGAATAACTAAAGTTAAATAAATTATCGAATCGTTCTGCATTGTATGATGAGGGGATCCGTTATCAGTATCTTCAGCTGCACACTCTAGTGTGCGCTAGACCTAAAGGTCGTGGTTTAGGTGTTGTATAGATTTTATGTCGAAGAGTGGCTAAATGAAGAATTACATTTTTCCCTTTTTTACACGTTAACGGTCATTTTTTGTGTGAGTTCGGGTGTGCTTTTGAAGATAAGAGTTTTGTTTAAATGTCTTTGGGCAGTAAGAACACGTGTAGAGTTTCTCCTCAGTGTGGGTAAGGATGTGTTCGGTGAGATGGTGTTTTTGCTTGAATGACTTGAAGCAGTGAGTGCACGAGTAGGGTCGATCACCTGTGTGAATACGGGTATGTATTTGCAGATGGTGGTTTTGTTTAAAGGACTTTTCGCAGTAAGAACACTGGTACAGCTGTTCTCCAGTGTGCGTACGAGTGTGCACATTGAGGCCAGATTTTTGCTTAAATGATTTTGAGCAGTGAGTGCATTGAAAAGGTCGATCTCCGGAATGACTTCGGATGTGCGCTTTGAGGGTGTTATGTTGTGTAAACGCCTTTGAACATTGACTGCACTGATACGGTCGCTCCCCAGTATGCGTACGAATGTGTAATTTGAGTTCGTATTTTTGTATAAACGACTTTGAGCACTCGGAGCATTTGTAGGCTCGTTCGCCGGTATGTGTACGGACGTGCACCCCAAGAGTTCCAGCTTGGGAAAAGGTCTTGGGGCAGTGCGAACACTTATACGGTCTTTCTCCTGTGTGAGTACGTACATGTGTTTCCAAATGCTGTTTTTTGTTAAAAGACATCGTACAGAAAGAGCAATTGAAGCGTTGATCACCTGTATGTGAGCGGATGTGATCGCTTAGAACTCCGGCTCGCGAAAAAGTCATCGAACAGTGATTACATTTATATGGTCGCTCCCCAGTGTGAATACGGGTGTGTTCAATGAGATGGGATTTTTGTTGAAACGATTTAGGGCAGTCGGAACACTTATATGGTCGGTCCCCTATGTGCGTACGGATGTGATGTTGTAGGCTTGACTTTCTTATGTATGACTTCGGGCAGTGACTACATTTAAACAGAAGAGCCGCATCCTTATCATGAATATTTTCAGTGCCGGAACAATCGGACTGCTCGCCTTCATGACCTGAAATCTCAGAATCCTCGTCTTCAATGTTTTCACAGAGATCTTCTATATCCTCCTCCATCACTGGGAAATAAATTTGATGGCTTTGCTCACAGGTTTTTATAAGATTGAATGCATTTACAGCATCCTCAAGGCAAGGCGGGCATATGTTTTCAGGCAGTAAATCGCCTCGCCTTACTTCGTACCCAGTACACTGTGCTATCATGTCAGCGATGCAATCTGTGTGTGTCTCATCAAAAATGTTTGTGAATGCTCCGGAGTTACCCATACAAACTCTGCACATTTCCTCCATTGTCCTGCAAGTAAATTAATTTTAATGTGAACTATGTGGAGTATCATACGCACAAGCAACAAAATTCTACGGGCTTTATAAAAACTACATTGCTAGGCACAAATTGTTTTGTTTTGAGAAAATGAGAAACAAAATGTGCTGTTACGCGCGAATAACATCTGTAGGACCATGCAATCGAATATTCGGAGATTTTAGATCGGGTAAGAATATGGGTAGTCGTTAAAGTTATTTGGGAATGTTTTGGATTAATAAAAACGGAAACGAAAGCATCTGCATCTAAACCTTTCGCCCGTCTTTTGTAGGTTACGATTGAATCAATCCGTCTACAGATCTGTGGATATATGCAAGGATCTTGAGCGGGAAGATTTGACGGATTTTGACCTTCTCGAGCCACCTTGTCCACCAGTAGCCATAATGCTTTGCAGGCCTTTAAATCTGGCAAGCGGGTCTTTGCACACCCAACTCGGAGCCACTGCCCATTACGACAGATGAAAGGAAGGGGAAATAAACAATCTTGGTAAGAGTATCCTGTTGAAATGAAACCAATTTGTAAGTATTTGTAATATAATGAATTTGCATTTCAAATTAACAATATATTTTTTGGACTTTCGAAAATCAACTTCTTTGATTTTTTCTTAGCAATATAATGTTTATGTCCGTTCTTAACCGTTCATACACCACGAATGTTCTCTCGAATAGTAAAGGTATAATTGTGTTTTCGAAGATCGACTGACTTTAAGGGACTTTCCGTCATAAGCACGCTGCTACAGCTGTTTTCCAAAATGGGTTTTCATGTGCGCTTTGAGAATATTAGGTTGTGTAAATGCCTTTGAACATTGATTGCACTCATACGGTCGCTCCCCAGTGTGCACTCGCATGTGCAGCTTAAGTTCGTGTTTGTATATAAACGACATTGAGCATTCGGAGCATTTATTGGGTCGATCCCCTGTGTGAGTACGGGTGTGTGCATCAAGTCTGCATTTTTGTGCGAAAGATTTCGAGCAGAAGGAGCAATTCAAGGGTTGATCACCTGTGTGCGTACGGATGTGTAATTTGAGTTCATGTTTATGTATATACGACTTTGGACAGTCGGAGCATTTGTAGGGTCGATCCCCTGTGTGAGTACGGGTGTGTGCATCAAGTCTGCATTTTTGTGCGAAAGATTTTGTGCAGAAGGAGCATTTATAGGGTCGATCACCTGTGTGTGTCCCGATGTGTAATTTGAGTTCGTGTTTGTGTTTAAACGACTTTGAGCAGTCGTCGCATTTGTAGGGCCGATCCCCAGTGTGAGCACGGGTGTGTATATCAAACGTGGATTTTTGTGGGAAGGACTTTGAACAGTAGGAGCATTTGTAGGGTTGATCCCCTGTGTGCGTACCGATGTGTACTTTGAGTTCGGCTTTTAGTATAAACGACTTTGAACAGTACGAGCATTTGTAGGGTCGATCCCCTGTGTGAGTACGGGTGTGTGCATCAAGTCTGAATTTTTGTGGGAAGGATTTCGAGCAGAAGGAGCATTTGTAGGGCCGATCACCTGTGTGCGTACGGATGTGATATTGGAGACTGGATTTTCGCATATAGGACTTCGGGCATTGAGGACATTTGAACCGAGCGTCCGCATCCTTATCATCTTGATGTATTTTTTCATCGCCAGAAAAATCCGACTGCTCGCCTCTACTACCTGAAATTTCTGTGTTCTCATCTTCATGATTATCAGAGAGGTCTTTATCCGTTTCCCTCAGTGTGAAATATAGTTTATGGCTCTGTTCACAGGTGGTCTTAAGACTGAATGCACTCACTGCATCCTCAAGGCAGGTCGGACATATGTTTTCTGGTAGTGAATCCCCTCGCCTAACCACGTACCCGGTACACTGGGCTATCATGTCAGCAATGGAAATGTCCCATGTTTGTGCCTCGTCGAATATGTTTGTGAGTGCTCCGGAGTTTCCCATGCAAACTCTGCACGTTTCCTCCATTGTCCTGAATGTAAATGAATCTTAATAAACGGAATACAACGATATTTATATACATACATGGGAAATCAGAAAAATCAAACCCACAAGCAGCAAAATTATGAATGATTCCTTGGCGTGAATTGTTTTTGTTTTACTAAAATAAATACACGAAATGTACTGTTAGGCGCAAATGCATCTAATCGAATGTATTATCGAATGTAACAAAATGTTTAGTCCTCTAATTTATTTTTTCTTTAGACTAATTTGTTGTTAAAAAATGTAATTCAGATTTTTGCATTCTAGTTCTAGCATTTATTCTAGTTGAGGCATCTCAATTTTGTGTTCACCAAAAATGCTTAATTGAGATTTGGAACATATAATCACTCTCATAGGGTGATAACAACGCACAATATCAAACGTACAATCTATTTTAAAAATTTGTAAATAGATAATTCTTAATTAGGGCAGTTGAGATATTTTCTCGATGCCCAGTTGGTAATGAAACTCTTGAGTAACGAACAAAATTCGTTTGAAAAGTACACAAATATCATACAATTTTATGTCTTTTAAAAATACTTCTTACAAAAAGTTTTTTTTTGTATCCTATTTGTAAAATTATTTTATTGGGATTAAAATTTAAACCGGTTTATAAAGGCCCCATATAATATGAAAAACAGAGTGGTGAACATTGTTCATCTTCGCCAAAAGCAAAAACATTGAAACAGATTCATCCGCCAGCGATTTTTCAATATCTTTATACATCATTTTAATGCAGAATTTTCGCAGTAAAGATAGTGGAAATAATTGAACATACCAAGCCTTTGTTCAAAAAAAGCTTAAAAATCTTATTCTACACCTTCCATTTTCAGTGTTCTTATGGAAGTGATCTCGAAAAGTGCCGGAATGGCATACTTGTCACTCCTTGTGTGAGTAATTACGTGTCTCTGGTAGCTATTATTTTTATATCTAAATGTCTTTGAGCAGTGGGTACACTTGAATGGGCGCTCCCCTGTGTGAGAACGTATGTGCACTTGGAGATTCGATTTTTCTTGAAATGATTTCGAGCATTGTGAGCATTGGTGGGGTCGTTCATCCGTATGCGTACGGGTATGTCTTTTAAGATTGGATTTTTCTCTAAAGCATTTCGAGCAGTGGGAGCATTTGTAAGGTCGCGTGTGAGTACGGATGTGTGCCTCAAGTTGGGATTTTTGTAGAAAGGACTGTGAGCAGTCACTGCATTTGTACGGTCGTTCGCCGGTATGCATAAGGGTGTGTTTTTGAAGTTGGGATATTTGTTGAAACAGCGTTGAACAGTCGGTGCATTTGTAGGGTCGTTCATCCGTGTGCGTACTGATATGTCGCCGGAGAGATCCGGTTCGAGTAAAGGACTTTGAGCATTGGGTACACTTGTACGGTCGCTCCCCCGTGTGTTTACGCATGTGTATCTGGAGATGAGATTTTTCTGTAAACGACTTCGGGCAGTGAGTGCACTTGTGGGGTCGGTCAGTTGTGTGCCATCGACGGATATGAGCCTGGAGATTTGTGGCGATGGAAAAACACTTGGAGCAGTCGGAACACTTGTAAGGTCTCTCCCCCGTGTGGATACGATTATGTCTTTTAAGATTAGATTTTCGCTGAAATGACTTTGGGCAGTGCTGACATTGGTAGGGCTGTTCCCCTGTGTGAACCCGGATGTGTACTTTGAGTTCGCTTTGAGTAATAAAGGACTTTGAGCAGTCAGAACACTTATAAGCTCTCTCCGCAGTGTGGGTACGACAGTGTCTTTGGAGAATCGATTTTAGCTTAAATGACTTTGAGCAGTGGGGGCATTGGTAGGGCTCTTCCACTGTGTGAACACGGATGTGTTCTTTGAGTTCGTTTTCAGTTTTAAAGGAGTTTAAGCAGTCGGAGCACTTGTAGGGTTGTCCGTCGATATGAGTAAGAAAGTGCCGCTTCAGTGCGCTCATGGTTACGAATGACTTTGAGCAGTGGACACATTTGTTGTGTCGCTCCTCCGTGTGATAACACATGTGACTTTGAAGACTTGATTTTCGATTAAACGACTTTGAACAGTGACAGCATTGGTAGGATTGTTTGTCCGTGTGCATACGGATGTGATTTTGCAAATTGCATTTCCGTTTAAAAGACTTCGAGCAGTGAGTACACTTAAACAGAAGATCCACATCCTTATCACCTTTACATATTTTTTCATCAGTTTCCAAAATCGTCGCTTTTTTTCTGCTTATTGACATGTTCCAGTCGTTCTGTTCAAAATTATCACAGAGATCTGTTTTCACATCCTCTTCCATCACTGGAAAATATAGTCGATGGCTCTGCTCGCAGGATTTCTTAAGATTGAATGCACTCACTGCATCCTCAAGGCAAGGCGGGCATATTTTTTCTGGCAGTGAATCCCCTCGCCTAACCACGTAACCGGTACACTGGGCTATCATGTCAGCAATGCAAGTGTCCCATTTTTGTGTCTCATCAAAAATGTTTGCGAGTGCTCCGGATTTGACCATGCAAACTCTGCACATCTCCTCCATTTTCCTGCAAATAAACTAATGTCAAATAAGCGGATGTCAGTACGCGCAATAACGAATTGACGGGAATATAAATCAAACAACAAACCAAGTTATGGCTTTTATAAATTGCAAATGTTTTTTCTTCACAAATTTGTTGTGTTGACCACAGAACATACGGATAGTGCTGTTAAGCGCAAAGTTAAAACAGATGACTGCTTTTCTGTGCTGTTATGCGCGAACGAAATCGGAGTACTGTATAAATATTTTGTTATCGAATTTAATTATTTTGGAAATAGTGTTTTTATAAATGATTCGATTGAATTACAAGTTTTTTTGGAACACATTATTTGAATTACACTCCAATAAACCTTTTCGAACAAAGGATGTCTTTCTGTGGATAAAGATGGGTTATACGCACATCCCTACCGCCTGGGTTTTCGTACCAGGCGCTTTTGATTTTTGGCTTGAGGCAGGTCAAGAACGAGATTATCAATTGGGATACATAGTCATATTGATATTTACAAGTGATATGAACTCGTATCCTTTCCCCGCAGTTAAACACGTTTTTTCACTTCAGCTCGAAACGCAGTATCCAATAGGTGCCGTGCCCTGAATTCTCCTACAATCTTTTATTAAGGAAGGCCAAGGGTCGGTGAAGATCCTAGCCTTGGCAGGTAGCTATGTATTAGCTCATTTGGATAGCTGAAAAGGGCTTTGAACATTAGCACAAATTTTGTCACCTTCAATTGTCTTTTACCTTTTCTTTTCTTGTAAGCTATTTGGGCTCTGAGTCTCACCTACAATGAGCCAATTCACGCATCGTATACTCTCTGTACCTATGGCATTGATTTGATTTTCGCCTTCTTCTTGATATCTGAATAATACCCCGGTATGCTCCAATCAGCATTTCGCAAACTATTTGTGGCAGATTCTACGATGTAAGTGGATCGATTTATAAGTATCTGTCATCGCCTGACAAAAACAGTGTATTTCATTCGATAGATCATCAGGAATACGCTGCTGCCAAATACCGACGTGTGCAATGTCTGTGGGCATCACAGAACATAAGCTATATATTCTGGCCATCGTCCTTAACTTCACCATCGCCCTGTACCATTGGGGACTTTTTTCCAGGTATAATATGTTATGCAAGCCTTTGCTGAGGGATGTCCCACTCCAAACTGCGCTGAGCTGAAAACTTAAAAAGCTCTCCCAGATCAGCTTTGATCGAGCATGCCTCAGCAAGCGAGGTGATGATATCTACCATCATTATTTCGTTACTATGGAAACTATAGGATGATATAATTATGTTATGTACAAACATGTGTATAATTACAGAAATAGGATTTTTGGGCTGATTATCTTTAACAACAAAGAAGTTTTTCATAGAACAACTTTTTTATGTATGTACTCTTAGATCGAAATGTCCGACTCGCCAGATTCCGCCAAACTATTAGGAAATCCGTAAAATATAACACTGTGTATGCCATATTTCGTTGAGATAGTTTAAAAACTCAGAATGGTTTAATAGAAAAAGAAGGACGAATAGCTATAAGATCAGAATGAAGAATAACATTTATCCAATTTTAACACTTTTTTGTGTGAGTTTGGGTGTGTCTTTGAAGATAAGAGTTTTGTTTAAACGTCTTTGGGCAGTAAGAACACGTGTAGAGTTTCTCCTCAGTGTGGGTAAGGATGTGTTCGGTGAGATGGTGCTTTTGCTTGAATGACTTCAAGCAATGAGAGCACGAGTAGGGTCGATCACCTGTGTGAGTACGGGTATGAAGTTCAAAATGGTGGCTTCGTGTAAAGGACTTTTCGCAGTAAGGACATTGGTACAGCTGTTCTCCAGTGTGTGTACGAGTGTGCACACTGAGGGCAGATTTTTTCTTAAATGATTTGGAGCAGTGAGAGCATTGGAAAGGTCGATCTTCGGAGTGAGTTCGGATGTGCGCTTGGAGGTTGTTATGTTGTGCAAACGCCTTTGAACATTGACTGCACTGATACGGTCGCTCCCCAGTGTGCGTACGAATATGTAATTTAAGTTCGTATTTTTGTATAAACGACTTTGAGCACTCGGAGCATTTGTAGGCTCTTTCGCCGGTATGTGTACGGACGTGAACCCCGAGAGTTCCAGCTTGGGTAAAGGATTTAGAGCAGTGCGAACACTTATACGGCCTCTCTCCTGTGTGAGTGCGTGAATGTGTTTCCAACTGGTGTTTGTAGTTAAATGACATCGTACAGAAAGAGCAATTGAAGCGTTGATCACCTGTATGCGATCGGATGTGATCGCTAAGGGCTCCGGCTCGTGAAAAGGTCATCGTACAGTGATTACATTGAAATGGTCGCTCCCCAGTGTGAATACGGGTATGATGGATGAGATGTGATTTTTGTATAAAAGACTTTGAGCAGTGGGAGCATTGGTAGGGTCGTTCATTCGTATGCAATTTTGTGTGCCGCTTTAGATTGTATTTATGCGAATAGCTTTTCGGACAACGAGAACATTTGAATGGAAGATCCATATCCATATCATCTTTATAAATTTGTTCGTCGTTTTCAAAATTTCTTGACTGCTCTTTACCTGAAACTTCCGAGTCCTCGTATTCAAGATTATTTAAGAAGCTATATTCCATATCCTCCTCAAGCATTGAGAAATATCGTTGATGGCTCTGCTCACAGATTTTTTTAAGATTGAAGGCATTTACAGCATCCTCTAGGCAAGGCGGGCATATTTTTTCTGGCAGTGAATCCCCTCGCCTAACCACGTACCCGGTACACTGGGCTATCATGTCAGCAATGCAAGTGTCCCATTTTTGTGTCTCATCAAAAATGTTTGCGAGTGCTCCGGATTTGACCATGCAAACTCTGCACATCTCCTCCATTTTCCTGCAAATAAACTAATGTCAAAGAAACGGATGTCAGTACGCGCAATAACGAATTGACGGGAATATAAATCAAACAACAAACCAAGTTATGGCTTTTATAATTTGCAATGTTTTTTCTTCACAAATTTGTTGTGTTGACCACAGAGCATACGGATAGTGCTGTTAAGCGCAAAGTTAAAACAGATGACTGCTTTTCTGTGCTGTTATGCGCGAACGAAATCGGAGTACTGTATAAATATTTTGTTATCGAATTTAATTATTTTGGTAACAGTGTTTTTAATAATAAAAAACCTAATATTTATTATTATAGGTTTTGACCTTAAAGCCAATGAACGTCTTCGAAGAAAGGATTCCTTACTGTGGATTAAGATTTGTTAATATGTACAACACCACAGCCTGGGATTTCGTACCAATCCAAAAAAGAAAGGAAGGGAATCCTTTGGCGCATCACATTATCTAGTGGAAGTACCTGGGAGCAAAGACTAGTTAGTGGATCGGCAGCATAGATAAATACATGATCATATTGGTGTTTACAAGTGAAAAGACTTCCATTCCGCTCTTAAATGCATTCTTGCCTTAAGGTTCAAATATCGTCGAGTGCAAGGTCTGAGGCGAACATTACAGAACTGCAGTAGTAAATGCTGCTACTTTGTTTAAGCCAACAACTAGGGACAAATATGTATATCCGGCTATAATGCTATGATGGCCTAATACGACAGATGAAAATAATGGAAAATATCCACGACCAAACATAACGCTTCAAATGAAATCAATTTCAGATTAATTGTATTGTATTTAAAATTATCAATACATTTTTGGGACTTTCAGTCAATTTGCTTACATGTCTTCGGCTATCGCAATCATGTGACGAATCTCTGCTCATTATACGTGTGTGCTCTTGGAGACCTAACGTTATCGTTTCTTCATTTTGGAATTGCAGTCGAAACAATAGAAGGGCTATCTATCTGGTGGTGCATCCATTTGGAACACGCGTGACTGCGAATGTGTTTTCGAAGATAAGACTTTTGCTTAAAGGTGTTTGTGCAGTAAGAGCACGTATAACGTTTTTCCTCAGTGTGAGTAAGGATGTGTTCGCTGAGATGGTGTTTTTGGTTGAATGACTTCGAACATTGAGAGCACGAGAAGGGTCGTTCTCCCGTGTGAGTGCGTACATGTGTTATCCAAATCTGTTTGTTGTTAAAAGGCATCATACAGTATGAGCACTGATAGCGCTGATCACCAGTATGCGAGCGGATGTGATCGCTTAGAACTCCGGCTCGGGAAAAGGTCATCGAACAATGACTACATTTATATGGTCGCTCCCCAGTGTGAATACGGGTGTGATCAATGAGATGTGATTTTTGTTGAAAGGATTTCGAGCAGTCGGAACACGTATAGCGCCGATCTCCTGTGTGAATACGGGTGTGTGCATCAAGTCTGCATTTGTGTGGAAAAGATTTCGAGCAGAAGGAGCATTTGTAGGGTCGATCATCTGTGTGCGTTCTGATGTGATGTGGCAGACATGATTTTCGCCTATAGGATTTCGGACAATGAGGACATTTGAACCGATAAACCTCATCCACATCATCTTTTTGTATCATTTCATCGGCTTTACAGTTTTTCGACTGCTCATTTCCACAAGTCAAAATTTCAAAGTCCTCGTCTTCCAGATTATCATAGCGATCTTCTCCTACATCTGGCTCCATCACTGGAAAATATAGTCGATGGCTCTGCTCGCAGGATTTCTTAAGATTGAATGCACTCACTGCATCCTCAAGGCAAGGCGGGCATATTTTTTCTGGCAGTGAATCCCCTCGCCTAACCACGTAACCGGTACACTGGGCTATCATGTCAGCAATGCAAGTGTCCCATTTTTGTGTCTCATCAAAAATGTTTGCGAGTGCTCCGGATTTGACCATGCAAACTCTGCACATCTCCTCCATTTTCCTGCAAATAAACTAATGTCAAATAAGCGGATGTCAGTACGCGCAATAACGAATTGACGGGAATATAAATCAAACAACAAACCAAGTTATGGCTTTTATAAATTGCAAATGTTTTTTCTTCACAAATTTGTTGTGTTGACCACAGAACATACGGATAGTGCTGTTAAGCGCAAAGTTAAAACAGATGACTGCTTTTCTGTGCTGTTATGCGCGAACGAAATCGGAGTACTGTATAAATATTTTGTTATCGAATTTAATTATTTTGGAAATAGTGTTTTTATAAATGATTCGATTGAATTACAAGTTTTTTTGGAACACATTATTTGAATTACACTCCAATAAACCTTTTCGAACAAAGGATGTCTTTCTGTGGATAAAGATGGGTTATACGCACATCCCTACCGCCTGGGTTTTCGTACCAGGCGCTTTTGATTTTTGGCTTGAGGCAGGTCAAGAACGAGATTATCAATTGGGATACATAGTCATATTGATATTTACAAGTGATATGAACTCGTATCCTTTCCCCGCAGTTAAACACGTTTTATCACTTTAGTTCGAAACGCAGTGGTGGAGTTCATAGCCCTGCCAGGCAGCTATGTATTGCTTATTTGGATAGCTTTAAACATTAGCACACATTTTATTACCTTGAATTGGTTTTAACTTTTTTTTTATGAAAGCAATTTTGGCGGTGACTTGTACAAGCCCACTAACAGCCAACTGTATAAGTTTGAACACAAGTACTCAGGTCCGGCTATTTAAAACTAAAATTGAGCTAAATCAGCCCAGCCGTTCTGAATTGACGATATCCCATACATTTATATAGAATAGATGGATTAACAAATACCTTTTTGGGATCCCAATTATGTGACGAATCGCTATTCATGACGGGTGTGTGCTCGAGGAGATCGTACATTATCAGTATCTTCAATTTCATCTTTAAATGTAATTTGGAATTGCGAAGCATCCATTTGGATCACGTGATTGCGCGTATGTTTTCCAAGAGAAGACTTTTGCCTAAAATTCTTTGTGCAGTAAGAGCAGGTGTATAGTTTTTCTTCAGCGTGAGTAAGGATGTGTTCGCTGAGATGGTGTTTTTGCTTGAATGACTTCGAGCAGTGAATGCACAAGTGGGGTCTCTCTCCCGTGTGGATACGACTGTGTCTTTTGAGATTAGATTGCCGCTGGAATGACTTTGGGCAGTGGTCGCATTGGTAGGGCTGTTCCCCTGTGTGAACACGGATGTGTACTGTGAGTTCGCATTGACTTATAAAGGACTTGGAGCAGTCAGTACACTTGTACGGTCGCTCCCCAGTGTGAGTCCAGACGTGTAGCTTGAGTTTGTCTTTTCGTTTAAATGACTTCGAGCAAAGAGTGCACTTATGCGGTCGCTCCTCTGTGTGAGTGCGGATGTGTCTGGTGTGTTGGTATTTTTTTTGAAAGGTTTTTGGGCAGTCGGGGCACTTGTAGGGTCGTTCTAGATAATCCGTTTTATCGGCATCATTATGACGTATTTTTACATCGGTTTCAAATGGGATTGATTGCTCAGTTTCACTATCTGACGGTTCCCAGACCTCGCCGTTCAGATTATCACAGCAGCTATCTTCTATATCCTTCTCCACCACCGGGAAATAAATTTGATGGCTTTGCTCACAGGTTTTTATAAGATTAAATGCATTTACAGCATCCTCAAGGCAAGGCGGACATATGTTCTCTGATAGTAAATCGCCTCGCCTTACCTCGTACCCAGTACACTGTGCTATCATGTCAGCAATGCAAGTGTCCCATGTGTGTGTCTCTTCAAAAATGTTTGCGAGTGCTCCGGAGTTTCCCATGCAAACTCTGCACGTTTCCTCCATTGTCCTGCAAGTAAATGAATCGTAAATAAAGGGAATCTAGGAACGCAACATTACTTGCGGGAATCGAGTCGACATAACAACAACCAACCAAATTGTGCGGCTTCTCCGAATTTCTGTTTCCTTGCTAAAATTGTTTTGTTTTGAGAAAAGTATAAGAAAACTGTGCTGTTAGCGCCAAAAATATCTGTTATGTTATCGGAATAACTCGTAGGGGTTGTTGCAGAATATGGGTATGCCTGAAAAGGAAATAGATTTGCTTGGAATTGAAATTTTTGTATATGACTGTGGTACTTTTATGGTAAAGATACAACAGAGACTCAGTCTGGATTTTGATAAAATATATAATAGAAAGAATGTTGAAATCATGATATGATATGAAAATTTATGGGCGAAATTATTGGGAAACGAGCCAAACCCAAAACCTTCCATAATTTATCCCAGTGGATTGCAGTTAAATCCTTGTCGCGCATTCACTTTTAACAAATTTATATTATTTATTATTATGGGTTTGAGACAATGTTGGTCATCTCAAGCTCCAACATACGCAGAAACTAGTCAGTCTGTGTTTCAAATTATTTCAACGATATTTTGCGGCTTATTGTCTTCTTGCAGAGACCAAGAATAAGTATCAGATATATATACAAGATACTAGTAATATTCATGAATATGTCTAAAACATATCAATTGGAGAAAAGGTCATTACAAATAACGTTTTATCTTCATATAAAATTAACGAAATAGGGTATAAAAATGCCTATACACGCATCATGTCTTCAAATACCAGCAGCATTGTGACTGTTTTTTTGTTGAGCTATTTTGTTTATGCCTTGTTTTTGTTAAAATACACTAAAAGCAAGGACTAAAAACTGGCCAGTCAAGTAGAAAATTGATTCATTAATCGTATTAAATTATGTGGGCATGGCTAAATATTCTATATAGCTTGTAATATGCGACGGAATATGAAAAACGAGGAATATGTAAAATGGAACTCGAATTCGTCAGTATATTTACAGTATATTTTGGTATATTTCTAAGGGTCATACTGTAGAAATACTGGTTTTCGCCGCGCTCCCATGGTATTTTTGTCAATTTCATCAATCTATTAATTTAATTTTCAATTTTATATAAAAATCCAATAAATGCAAGTATTTCGAATAGACCAATCATGTATAGAATTGATTTATCAATCGTACAAAATTGAGTGGGCATGGCTAAATGTTCCATATAGATAGTATTATTCAACGGAACAAAGAATATGAGGAATTGGTCGTTTTTTTGAATCGAATTTGAATTCGCCGCAGTTCGCTTTAGCAACAATGAGTCCCATTCCATACACAAACATGTTGCTAACATACCCTGGGGGAAATGGATGTTATAGAATTGAGGAAAAAGGGTATACAAAGGCCTATACAAGCGTTATGTCTTCAAATTCCAGCGACATTGCAACTGTTTTTTTGTTGAACTATTTTGCTTAAACCTTGTTTAGTCAAAATACAATAAAAGCAAGGACTAAAAACTGGCCAGTTAAGTAGAAAATTTATTCATTAATCGTATAAAATTATGTGGGCAGAGATAAAGGCCCGGTTGACAACATTTAAATCCTTGTCGCTCACATTCAAAAAAGTTCGATTTGGCGCGCACCACTCGGTATTTTTTTCAAATGAGACCGTATATACTGTAGAAACTGGTTTTCGCCGCGCTCCCTGAGGTGTTTTTTAGTGCTAAATGGTATTTTTGTCATCTATTAATTTAATTTTCAATGTTATATAGAAATCCAATTAATGCAAGTATTTCGAATAGGCCAATCATGTATAGAATTGATTCATCAATCGTATAAAATTGCGTGGGCATGGCTAAATGTTCTATATAAATAGTATTATTCAACGGAACAAAGAATATGAGGAATTTGAATTCGCCGCAGTTCGCCCCATTTCGCTTTAGCAACAATGAGTCTCATTCCATACACAAAAGTTGCGGCAACATTTACTTGAAACCCGTTTTTTGGTCAAAATAAAATACATAAAGGTAATTAAAAGAAGCAATCTTGTAGAAAATGCATTTATCTATGGGATAAAGCTAAGTTGGCAAATCTATATAGCTTGAAATATAGGCAATACCCGATTCGCCACAGTTTCGCTATTGCAACAATGAGTCTCATTCCATACACAAACATGTTGCTAGTTCCAAGCACACATACCCTGGGGGAAATTGATGTTATAGAACTGTGAATACGTTTGTCTTCCAACGCTCAGTAGGTATCAGGATCGACATAAATATATACAAGATACTTATAATGTACTTGAATATGTCAAAAGAATATCAATTTGAGAAAAGGTCGTAGTAAATTGCGTTTGATCTACTTATAAAATTAACGAAATAGGGTATACAAAGACCTATACACGCATCATGTCATCAAATACCAGCAACATTGCGACTGTTTTTTTTGTTGAACTATTTTGTTTAAACCTTGTTTTAGTCAAAATACAACAAAAGCAAGGACTAAAAACTAACCAATTGTATAGAAAATTGATTCATCAATGCGTTAAAATTATGTGGGCACGGCTAAAAGTTCTATATAGCTAGTAATATTCAACGGAAGAAAGAAAACGAGGAATACAATAGAACTTTCATTCGTCAGTATATTTACGGTATATTTTTTAAGTGAGACGGTATATGTCGGTATATTTCTGAGGGTCGCACGGTATAGCGGTCACACTGCTCTGGACGTGATTGCGGTAAAAGTTTTTTGTTTTTTTGGATTTTTCGGACAAATTACGCCTTCTATATTGCTATATATATCGAACTTGTGCAACGAAAATCGTAAACGAAGCGGCACTCTGGCTGCAGGCCACAAAATAAAAGATATGGGCACAAATTTGTACTAAAATGAAAGTGGAAATCGTGTGATGTCATGTTGGCGACAAAACTGTGCTCTGCCGTTTTTGGTTAATTGAAATAACTTCCTGCGCTGCTGCGCTGCTAACTGCTTTTGTGTGGGTGTGGGCGAGTGTGCAACACGCGCCTGGAATATAATTGTTGTTTTAAGTGCGACAAGTGCAAAGACAAACACATTTCGGTTTGTGGATAAAGAATTGAATTGAACAGAAATTCCAATTTTCATTCCACTCCACTGAAGACCAGCACAAAAGAGAAAAGGTAAAACGCACACGCACACACAAGCGCAGCGCAGAGCTGAGAACATCACAGTGTGTGTGTGTGTGTGTGTGGAGTTATGAACGCCTCCCCACATTTTGCATGTGTGTGTGCGTGAACGGGAAGCAGCAGAAGCTCCAGCAGCGCTCCCACAACCCCCCGCACTCCACGTTCGGGATAAACAAAGAGAAAGGAACAACTTTTATTGATTTCCCTCCAAAAACAAAAATAGAGGGAGAACAAGAAATCTACGATTCCGCCCAAGCAACAGGAGAGACAGGAGGAGCCGCTGCCACGCCTTCGGGCTGCATTTACCGTCCGATCCAGCCACATTCCCCCCTCCAGAAGCAGCACCCCGTGCCCACCAGCCATGTCCAGTCCCAGCCAAACGGAGGGGAGCCAATCCCTCGAGGAGCTGCGCATGGAAGTGGAGCGTCTGACCCGGGAGCTTGACCAGGTCTCCTCCGCCAGCGCCCAGTCGGCGCAATATGGCTTGTCCCTGCTGGAGGAGAAGTCGGCGCTGGAGCAGAAGTGCGAGGAGCTGGAAACGCTATACGATAACACACGGCATGAGCTGGACATCACGCAAGAGGTAAGAGGAAAGAGGTGGTCGGGAAATGGGTGAATACAGAGTGGGACATAGATAAGTTGTACAACAGAGTCGAGGAGAAAATGAATACTCAATTAATACAGTGAAATATCGATATGAGAAATGTGTTTTAATTGAGGTGTTTTTAGAAAAAAGCTAAAGTCTTTCATGTTCTTTAAAATTCATTGTTCAGTAGTAATTACATTTCGGATCTCCATCCGGCTAAGTTCTTATCAGACTATTTAATGTTCTCGTAACATCTTCGTTATACATAATGCCGGGGTCTTCTTTAGCCAGTGTCCACTGCAAAAAGCATTCTGATCTGTTTCCAGGCATTTGCCGCCGCTTGTCTGCTATCTTGCTCACCCAACTATTTAGCACGCACACAGACACAAAGCAAAGCTTTTTCACAATCGCCTTCAATTTGTCTTGCTGGCAAATTAACTCGCTCACCTGTTGGCCAGTCTCTCTCCTCAGTCTCGCTTTTGTCTTTTGCAGCGCTCTCTTTTGGCTTGTCTGCCAGGTCTAGCTGAAATAATCGCCGATCGAACCGAGTCCGACGTCCATGACCATATGGTCACGTGCTGCTTTTCAAAACTGGGCTTGCGGTACTCTTAACCGATTCAGTGAACGCCGCACTCGTCTCCCTTACGCGTTCTAACTCTCGATCTGTATCGCTCTCTCTCTCTCTCTCTCTTGTAATCGCGGTTAATTGGAAAATTCAATAAACATAAGGGATAGGGAATAAATCGATTAGATGTAATTGAAATCACTATCGGTTTTCTGCATAATTCATTTCATAAACTAAATACTTACAAAATGTAAGTTACTGTACAAAAAAAAAGCAAAAACATTGTCAAGAATACCTCCATTATTTCAGCTCTCTTGTTTTTGCACGGTCAATCTATTTTTGCCGTTTCATTTTGCACCTACGTTTAGCGCTGTATTCCCTCGCTTTACCCCGCTCAACTCATGCCATTCAGTATGGATAAACTCTCTGCCAATTAGTCGTCGCTACCGCTTGGCATTTCCGCTGGCATTCCTACCGTTTGGGGCCCTAGGCGGCTGGATGGAAACGACAGGAACCGGGCATAGCCAGACGACAGGCAAAGTTTTGTCCCTTCGTCTGCAAAAATCAAATGGGGGAACAATAATCATTCTGCCTTCTATTAACATTTCCCTATTCCCTTTTTTGCTTGCCTTTTCGGAGTCTACTTTTCTTTTTTTTCTGTAGATAATTAAAGCGGTTGCTTGGGCAAACGATTTTTGAGGACACTGACTATCAGGGGAGATAAAGAATGGCTAATAATGCTAGTTATGCGATAATTTCGAATTTTTTTCAATGGAATGGAACGGAAAATCAA